CCTGTATTTCAAGAACTAGCGAATGAATATTGTTATAACGTTCCATGCATGTGCTCATTTGATGCCTTATTCAGTCCTCAATATCGCAGAGCGATAGCATGAACCCATTACGAATGGCTAAAAATTGAAGAAGGGTCTACAATTTTTTGGACAGTGTATACAGTGTGTCCCATAAGTCAGGACCCATAGGGATTTCTAGGGAGCATTTTCCACCTTAAAGCACGCATTGTGGAGGAGCGTCAAGAAATTTATGCGACTGTGATTCAGAAAGTGCGGTTGCAGTGGAGATTTCGTCTTCAACTATGTGTGCGACACAACGGCGGACACTTTGAAAAGATTATGTAATAAATTGTTGGACTATTTTGTAATTTTATTAATTTTTCCCTATGGGTCCTGACTTACGGGACACCCTGTATACGGGCTACATATTATTTACAAATTCATCGTGTTTTGGCATACAAACGCTGGACATAATTTTCATAATTCATAATTTTCATAATTTTCCTCTTCAGTTCACTGTATAAAAGATAGTTTCGGAAAATGCCGAGTAAGCATAGGAAGCAGAGTCCTTCTCAAGCATGGAAAAGGAAATTCCGCTTTATAGCGGAAAACATTCCTCCCATTTTCGCATGCAGACATACTTCTGCAACAAAACCCTGGGAATCGATCTCTGCGCCGAAAGCACGTAAAAGGGAGCTTTCGTTCCATTGTCATGTACATTCCAATTCATCGTCGCAATTCAGCTTCTGTTGAAGTAAGTAATCTTCCGTCTCATATGGGGATTTCGTAATTGCGTTTATTACTCAAAACGTAGTCTTTCCATTCGAACCAATGTAGGAAAAATCCAATTTTTGGATCATTTCGTCATAGAATAGAGTGCAACTAGAGGCGACACTCCACTCGAATCGCATTCATTGACAGTGTCGCAATTTAAATGTCGCAGTCGATCCTCCACCTAGGGTGCGCACATCAATGACTTGTCCATGGCCAAACAGCGGACTGAACGAAGACACGCGTATTATGTTGAGGGACTCTTTTTGGGTCGAATTCTCGAATGAGTTGATTCCCGATTCCGCTGCCCAGAGGTATTGCCTCTAGGAAGTGTTGTTGATAGCAAGCCACCAGATGTCTCTGTAATATTTGGACCCCCTATACCTCTCGGAGTGCTGCCTCTTTTTGTATTCTTTATGATTTTCAGACCTCCCCTCATTAATCCGTGCGATATTGATACATTTCTAGAATAGAAAAAGCTCCCAAGTACTATTGCACTCACGCTATTATTCAGTACATCACTCCTGAGGCATTCCAGCTCAAGTGATCAAAGGGTGCTTGCGCTTCAATATGTTGGCATGTTGGCAATCAAGACTTATGAAAGAACCCAAAATGTTGGCTCTCTGGTTCTAACGGATCTCGAGATACGCGGCCCAAAACTTGGCCCCAAGAGGAAAAGTGGCCTTTAGGGTTAAAGCGCTATATTTGGTCCTAGTCGAACTAGAAACGCGTTTTTGGCTCTAAGTAAAGCTAAGACAATGGAAAATCGCACTGCGGTCGTATGATGCCAGGTAGCTTCCCTAAGTAAAAAGTTCGCACGTCTGCGTCGCATGGAAATGGGAGGAGAGTATGAAGTGTAGGATGCCAGATGCGGCATTTTCCACGAAAACCAGCATCCCTGTCTACGCCGCCAAGAGCAGCCTCCCCCTCTTATTCTCCACTATGGATCCGTCATTCTCCAAGACTGGAAGGGAAGTGGATGTTTGAGTGGTAGACTGGCACCCTGACCCAGACGGAAAGCTGCATATTTGTAATGTGTCCTGTTGTCTGGTTGTCATGGATACTGCGGACAGACGGAATGGAGAAAGTGATAGACCGAACGCAATATCAGTCATTTTCCAATGGAAATAGTACCTATGGAAATGCCACATACTTCCGCAAGGAACACGGAACGGGATTTCTGAGTAAATGTAGGACATTTTTTCAGAGAATTATGGGAAATCCAGATTTATATGCTCTTAGTTGAAACATTTTTCGAAGGAAAGATTCAGAATTTTCCGAGATTCTTTTGCAGCGTTGTTTGTTGGTACAGTCTCGGTCTCGGTCTAGTAATCTGGTACATATGGCTGATATTTAGGATCGATGACGTGCCGAAGACTCGACCGATCGCGCACGAGAAGTGGGACCTGCATGGCGTACCGATCGACGGTGCGTGAACTGCAGAAGTCCGGAGTACGACATTTCCCCCACATCGATAACGCATCGAAGAGAAAGAAGTCGAGCGGCATGCATTACAGTTATGCCTTTGGAAGGGTCACTTGAAGTCGTTCATCAAGGGAATTCCAGAAAAATGTTCTCAGAGGCAGGAAATGAGCGAGGAAAAAATGGAGAATGATCCAGACGGAAAGCTGCACATACGCAGTGAGTGGAGTCGTCCGGTCGCTATGGATACTGCGGACAGACGGAATGAAAAAAAAATAGACAGACCGATCGCAATATTTGCCATTTCCACATTGTACCTATGGGAATGGCAGATGAAATTCCTGCCAACGGATAAATCGAGAAGTACTAAGAAAGAGTTCAAGGAATCCTGCTGGCAGAATTCAGCGAGCAAAATAAACGAGAAAGCTCGACCATCTCGGATTTTGACGAAAATCGCCATACACGTAGAGGAATCGATTTAAAGAATACTATTAAATAAAAAATATTCCCACCAATCTCCAGATATATGCATTTTAATATGACCAATTTTTTGCTCCCAGCGCATTTATGGACCGAAATTGTGGAACTGTTTCTGCAATAACTTCCCCTCTAGTTAGAATATAAGCTTCATTCTGGTGTCATTTTAATCGCGAGATTGCTCTCTTTAAATTGCTTCCTAGCATTATTCTTATAAGCTGAAACAAGAAGTTCCACTATATCAAACAGATTGATCAAGTTCAGTGGCCAATATCGACACTTGGTACCTCGGGAATTCTTTGATCTAATATTTCATTTAATATTGCATGGTATGCCATTTCTGACCATACCAAGATCGAGATTGGCACTCAATGGCTTGACGAGATATGAATGTTTACCTGCGGGAGTAGTGACAAAATTCCACTTGCTCGAACACTTTGACCGACTTCAGTGACCTACCAATGCACTTTTAACTCCGTGAAGCCCGACTTATATCAAGGAAAAAGGCGTGATATTCCTTTCCTAATGATACCAAGTTCAAGGTTGGCGTTCAACGGGTTCATGAGGTATAACAGTTTGATTGCATCGACTGTGCATTTATAGTTACACCAGAAGAATCAGAAATATAACCAAATGTTTCGAAGCTGTCAGCGTGAAATTTTTTGTTTCTAATTTTTTAAGCATTTTATTGTTTTCCTAGCATACAAAATCACAAAATAAAATTTTTTTGAACATTCACAAATCAATTAACTCAATTTTAATTAATTAGGCAATGCATTATAATATTGATAATGGAATACAAGTAATTTTATTTAAAATCAGTGGAACCAGCAAACATTTAACAGGGAGGTTCATAACATCGAGCTATATTTCCGTGAATTCCAGGTGGAGCTATACAGTAAATGCACTGTCGATGCAAACGGTTATATCTCATGAACCCCTTGAGTGCCAACCTTGAATTTGGTATCATTAGAAAGGGAATATCATGCCATGATATTCCTGTCCAAAAGCGAAAAATTGATCATATTAAAATATATCTGGAGATCTGTGGGAAAGAAGAAAAAAGTTAAAATGGTATTCTTTAAATCGATTCCTCTACGTGTATGGCGATTTTCGTCAAAATCCGAGATGGTCGAGCTTTCTCGCTGGTCGATTTGGCGTGGAATGACTCAGGTATCAGATGGAGAAGGAGTATAGATCCCACCACCAGAGACTCCAAATTTCCCTTTTGAACCGATTTTCTGCGAGGTTTGTGGGTCGTATCATTCTGAAGAAGCACACAAATGGAAATAGCAACAGTCACCATTTGGATGAAAATGCGTTCAGTAATGCGTTCAGTCATCAGGAAAAGCCCAATTGCCCGTATGGAAATTTCGGCGAGTTCCGCCCCGTAGCCCTCAAGTGAAACACGTTCTTAGATTTTCCAACTCCTGGGGTTTTGGAGAAATAATAGAAGTTGATTTCGGCCCCTGCACTGGATGCGGATCGGCTCGATAGAGATCGAGCCGGAGTGACTGAAAATCTTTGTTCCCCTCTGGTGCAGGTTGGCCCGATCGTCTCCACACGATTCAAGGGTAGTTTGGTCGTCGATCGATTCTCGGATGGGGCACGAGCTACGATTCGAATCGGACCAAGGGATCGGGTTCGGAAAAATCCACCCACGCAGGTCTCCGACTGACAGGGAGCATACTGGAGGACAAACGTCGGAAATTCTTTTATTGACACACCGAACGAGTGGGAAAATCTTGGATATCAGTTGAAGGATGGAAGTCTTTCCATCCTCAGAGACCCTTCTTTACATTTATAACAAATTTCGGTCGTTTCTGTCGCATATAATTCGATATGGATAGCGTTCAAATGTGAAACTATCACGTTTGGATTGATAATAGTGGATGCGCTCAGTCATAGGGAACCCTTTAATTACAAGGTACATGTATAAACATTTTGAGCGATCTCCGCCGCATAGCATTCAAGTGAGACACGTCGTTGGAATTTTGAACATCTGGAATTACAGAGCGGGTGTCTTCTCCAACCATTACAGCTGCTGCCAGAGAAGACACGTCTTTCTGTCAGCTCTCGACACGGTCACGAAATGAAATGACGTCACTCGCGGGTAAGCAGCTACCAGCGGAATAGGGCAGCTACCCGCTCGTATTTAGTAAGGACGGTATATACAGGGTGGTTGAAAAGTAACTCCCTATTGAAAATTGCTTATAACTTTTGTAAATAGTACTGCATTTGCATTAAACAAAATGTATTATGATCCTTACAGTGGTAGAATTTAATTGATTATCTCTGATTTCATCTCACAATGACGAAAGCAGCCCATTATGGCCCGTCGCCTGACACTGGGTGAGCGATCTCAGCTGGCCTCCCGTTACGAAGTGTGGCAGTCCGTGGTACAGGTGCAAAGATGGTGGCGGAATGTTCACGGACCTCGTGCTTCAGTGGATGCCAAGACCATCAGGAACTGCCATTCCAAGCTGATGAATACGGAATCTGTGGTAGATACTCGCAAAAGTGGTCGTCCCTCGACATCCAGGTCGGAGGAAAATGTGCAAGTGGTGGAGGAAATGTTCATCCGAAGTCCCAAAATGTCAACACGCCAGGCTGCTCGTGAAAGTGTCTTAATTCGCCACACGATCCAAACTGTTTTGAAGAAGGAGTTAAATTTTCGTTCTTATCAGGCACTATCGGCGGAAAACTCTGATCGTCGGACGGAGTATGGGGAGATCATGCTTGCTTGGTATGCAGACTGGCCCCAGTTGTTTAACATCATCGTTTGGAGTGACGAAGCCGTGTTTCATGTGGGGGGATTTGTGAACCGCCACAATTGTCACTACTGGGCACGAGAGGATCCTGGGGCCACTGTTGAAAAGATGCTAAATCGCCCTAAGGTCACAGTGAGGTGCGGCATGACATCCAACCAGGTTGTGGGCCCATTCCTTATTCGGGACACAATGAGCGCAGATCGGTACCTAACCATGCTAGATGATGATGTTTGGCCTATTGTGTCCACTTGGGACAACGACAACAACCTCATCTTCATGCAAGATAGTGCCCCTCCTCATTTTGCACTCACTGTCCGTGAGTGGCTCGACATCCAATTTCCGGGACGTTGGCTGGGTCGTCGTGGTCCACATGAATGGCCAGGAAGGAGCCCTGACCAGCTCCATGTGACTTTTTCCTGTCGGGGTGGGCGAAGGAGGAGGTTTACCGTACCGAACCACAAACTCTGGATCAACTGGAGGATCGCATTCAGCATGTTCTGACCAACATACCACCGGAGTTCCTGCTGAAGTCTGTCGAGGCTATTACCAGACGATTACAGAAACTGGTGGACAACGCTGGTACTTATGTGGAATTTTAACACTGCAGACAATTTCTACCATTCTACGGTCCACAGTAAAACTTGTTTCACTACAATCGACCAATAATTAGTAAAGTTATTAGCAATTTTCAATAGGGAGTTATTTTTGAACCACCCTGTACAGTATATTAGATGCAATGTCCATATTGCAAACTGGTCATAAAATGGACGTTATATCGTCCATATTTAAACTTAAGATTTGTTATAAGCATAATAGTAGCTAAAACCGCTCTTTTCCATGAGACAAAGCAGTAGACCACATTCTTAGTATCGATTGGCGCTTTGGCATGATGTGGCTTTGGGTATTTGCAGCGTAGCCTCATACGCAATTGTACTTTGAATATTTCTCCATATTTCCATCCGTCCACATTTTGTTGCGTTCAAGGGCGAAAACCCTTTAGCGGAGCGTAGTGAACTGTGAGAATTCTGAACAGGCGAGTATGAATGTGACATCGTGGGATGTTGGAAGTGCCGGTGTCGCGTGATATTTTTCCCCTCCCTTTTTTTTCCCCATGGGGAAAAATATCATAGGATTTTCTTCCCCATGGGGAAGAACATAATATGATATTTTTCCCCTGAGGACAAACCTCATATGAGGTTTTTCCCCCCTTTGTGAGAAATCTCCCCCCCCTGCCAGGCCTGAAAAGTGGGCGGTGTTGAGCGGGCGAGAACTGTAACTGACAAGTTGACAATTGACATTAAGCTCTGTTTTGACATTTGAGAATAAGCTTTGTCTTCAAAAGATTTATTTGATTGGGATGAATGAGAAGTTGACAGTTGACATTTGACAAGAAGCTGTGTCTTCAAAAGATTTTATGATAATGGTAACTGATAAGTTCGCACAATAAGTTACGATAAGTCCTGTCTTGAAAATATTTCTATGATAATGATAACTGACGTTTTGTGCTCTCATGGGAGGAGTACATTTTTTTCAATGGTGTATAAAAGACATGCCTGAAGGAGAAGCTGTATCATTTCGTGACTGATCATGGATCCTGCAGTATCCCAGGCCCTACTTAGTTTCTTGAAGTCCGCTGGGGAGCGAGAACGGAACTACCCGCCTGACGTCCAGAAGCGGGACTATCGGAAGTTTGCCGAGCCATTCCAACTGATCAATGGCGAACTCTATCACCAATCAAAGAAGTGTGCTCAACCGAAGAAGGTGATCGTCGGGGAAGAAGAAAGGAATCGCGTATTGGATCTCTATCATCGTGGAATTGGTGGTGGGCACTTCGGAATGAACGCGACTCTTCGCAAGCTTGAGAAGTATTGGTGGAAGAACATGACTTCCGACGTGAAGAGGTTTGTCTCATGTTTATTTAATATTTTTTTTTATATGACGCTGGCAAAAAAATTATTTTCTCTATTTGTACTCATTCAACCTTACCGCTATTTTTTCTTCACAGGTTTTGTTCGTCCTGCATTGTTTGCCAAAAGGCGAATCCCATGAACAATCCAGCACCTGCCAAGTTACATCCAGTAAAGATTTCCTCTCGCCTCTTCCACCGTTGGGGCGTTGATCTGGTTGGCCCACTCAACGCGTCAAAGCAGGGAAATTCTTACCTCTGTGTTTTTACGGAGTACTTGACGAGGTTAGTATCGTAATAAAAGTTATTATTGATACATACATGTATAAAATATACATATATATTTAGGTATTTTTCAATGTTATATGGGTATAGTGTGCCTGAAACACTCTTCCATCTTCGTCTTCCATCAGATGGGCCGAAGCTTACCCGATTCCTGACAAGACAGCTGTTTCTGTAGCGGAGTGCCTGATGGACGTCATTTCTCGCTTTGGGGTCATGGAAAATCTCCTACACGACCAAGGCAGGGAATTCAACAACCAGTTGAATGATGCCATCAGAGAGCTTCTTGGGATAAAGAAGTGTATGACCTCGGCCTATCATCCACAGACTAACGGTAAGGATTGTCATTAATGCATGGCAGTTACTCGTAGCTGTAAGGATTGAAAGGCAGTTTTTGATAGTCGATATAATTCATTTCATTTGTCCTCAGGGCTCACTGAGAGATACAATCAGACATTAATTGCGAAGTTGACTGCCCACATGACTGACCGAGGTGATGATTGGGAGACACACCTAAGGAGCGTCATGATAGGGTATAGGTGGAAGGTGCAATGCTCCTCCAAATTTTCTCCGTTCGAGCTCATGTTCGGGGTGGAACCGCGTTTCCCCTACGAGCTCGACAGTCCCATCACCTCAGAAGACCTTGCCGATCCAATCTGGACTGAGGAGACTGGAGAAGAGATTGNTAACCATGCTGGATGATGATGTTTGGCCTATTGTGTCCACTTGGGACAACGTCAACAACCTCATCTTCATGCAAGATGGTGCCCCTCCTCATTTTGCACTCACTGTCCGTGAGTGGCTCGACATCCAATTTCCGGGACGTTGGCTGGGTCGTCGTGGTCCACATGAATGGNGTCCGTGAGTGGCTCGACATCCAATTTCCGGGACGTTGGCTGGGTCGTCGTGGTCCACATGAAAAGCCAGCAAGGAGCCCTGACCTCACGCCATGTGACTTTTTCCTGTGGGGGTGGGCGAAGGAGGAGGTTTACCGCACCAAACCACAAACTCTGGATCAACTGGAGGATCGCATTCGGCATGTTCTGATCAACATACCACCGGAGTTCCTGCTGAAGTCAGTCTATGCTATTCCCAGACGATTACAGAAACTGGTGGACAACGCTGATGCCTATGTGGAATTTTAACACTGCAGACAATTTCTACCATTCTACGGCCCACAGTAAAACTTGTTTCACTATAATCGACCAATAATTAGTAAAGTTATTAGCAATTTTTAATAGGGAGTTATTTTTCAACCACCCTGTATACAATCAAATTATAAAAGAGGCATTCTGGAGAAGATTGGGGGGGGGGTCGATTAAAATTCGTTTAATTTCGCCTTTTTTAAATTGTGATTAATGCTTTATTCGGTCGATTAATCTAAGCTAATTGACACTACTTAAAATTAGGGCTATTTCTATATTTCCACTGGTGTACACAATGCTGGTAAAAGTGTATGCATTAACATTTAATCCCTTCGGGGTTTTGCTCGAAGTGTTTTCGGGTAAATCACATGAGGGATTAATACCATTTCCTTCAATTGTTGTAATGAGACACCCAGTGGCATCTTACATCATGCACAATCAATAACTAATGCCACTGGCTTTGCTCTGTATATCCCACGAATCTGTTTGATGGAAATTGCACAGATGGCATGATGATTGGTATACATTGATGTGAAGTGACCCCTTTTCGGGCCGTTCACAAATTACGTAACACGCAAGGGGAGGATCAGAGAAATTGTTACGGGGGGTTGCACGAATGTCACGTAACAGGTTTTTTCCATGAAAAAAAATTATGGGACTGGAACTTCTCATTAGAAAGTTAATTGTTTAGTAACAAATCACTCACACGACACTAGAGCCGATCCTACTGCCCACCCGCACCCACCCCCTTACAAACAGTGGAGTGGGCATTGGGAACGTGAGAACGTCTGTTGACTTCCCTCTCCCCTGTTGCAAAACTTGCTAAGTCGCAGTTTCATGCCTGGACCTGCACAGAGGCCGAACAGGCCTTTGGACGTTGCCCTCGTTCGTCTCTCTCTGCATCGTAATCTGTTTCCACTATTCTACCCTACATTTTTCTGTTTCCTTTTACTCTTTTTTTAAATCTCAAAAGGGTGATCACCGTCAATCGAAATAAACAATGACGAAAGAAAATTATTTCCTTGGAGGAGGAGGAACCGAATGAAAGAATAAATTGTTTCAAAGAGGAAAGTTTATCATCTCTCAATGTGTGTAATCAAGAGTGCAAGTTATGCGTATTTAATAAAGGAGCTTCTTTTTCAAATGCATCTTACTTGTTTATTTATCTCATAATTAAAAAATTATGGAGGGGGTGGTCAATTTTGTCGTAATTTTTTGGGGAGGTCGAAGTTTTGCTACAGTGTTACAGAGGGGGGGAAATCACGTTGCGTAATTTGTGAATGGCCCTTTTTTTTAGCTGTTTTGTTCTTTTTTTTCCAGGCTTTGTTTCTGCAGTCGTTCAGTGGACTGGCTGCAATCACTGGGGCAGTTATTTCAATATCTACTAAAGGCATAGGTGAAAGGTCGTAAGGATAAACCTCAGAAGCAATTCTGAATTATACTAATTATACTAGCTAGGAGGCCAAAGCAAGTGCGGTCCCAGAAAGCAACAGGATCACTATCTCTGGTCTGACAAACAAGATCAGGCAGGATTGTAAAACCCCCCAGATCGCTACTAGGTTGCTCTGAGTTTGATGGTGTTTATTTGTTTGTTATTTATGGTTTCCACTTGGATGTCCAATGTACCCAAGTGTTTATGTACGAGTTAAAGAATATTATTGGGTCGATCGGAAAGTTCTGGCCGTTTCGGGAACGTTCCATACAACGGGGTTTTTTTTTTTAAAGCAAAAAGTTCATTCAACGAAGTTATCAGTCGAAGTAATTGCCATCTCCTTCTGCCTTCATCTTCGCAGACTCATGATTCCATCCCTGTAGAACTGAGCTGGCTCTGATTTTTTCGACTTAGTCAGCCAGTTTTCGGACTCGGCCTCATCGTTGAACTTTTTCTGGCGAAGATGGTCGTTCAGAGCGCGCCAGATATGGGCTATACGGAGGGAGAAGCAGAACCTCCCAGCCCAGATCCAGCAGTTTCTACCGTGTGATCTTCGCGACTTGCGGCCTTGCGTTGTCATGCAGGAATCGAACATGACGGTGCCCTGGCCTCCCCGTGCGGAGTTTGTCGTTGAGCTTCTGAGGCCGATCGCAGTAGTAGGCGGCGGTGATGCTGGTATCGGGTGGGAGCAACTCGAAGTCGATCACGCCTTGCACCAAATGCACAACATTACTTTTCGGGATACAGTTCACCTTTCGACTCCGGCTCTGACTGGACATCAGCATCGACCCACCCCTGGTGATTAACCCCTCATTTTTTAACGGGAGCTTCCTGGTTTAGAGTAGCTTGATCAAGAGGTCGATGGCCAGATCAAGAAATGTTGAATGTTTTTCAATGTGGCTCGCTCCAGATTGACTAACGTTATTGGTGCGGCCCACTCAAAATAGACCAAAGTGTCCGTTAGGCCCCCGTCTCAAGTGGTCCCCAAACTTTTTGTCAGACACTGGACTTGACTCTAGTCTGGCTATGTGAAAAGACATGAGAGGTGTAACATAACTAGGAGAACTTCGCTCCAATGAAGGAATTCTTTTAAGCGCGGGTGAATGGCGGGAGTAACTTTGACTTAGGGATCACTACAATCCAGGCTAAGAATCCCTCCGTGACTCGGAGTTGATTTTATGACTCCGAGTTTCGTGGTGTTTAATTGGGAAGACCTTAGAGGATTCCTCTGGCTTTCCCGCTTCAGGGTCGTCATGTTGATACCGACAGTGAGCTTGAATGGCCACTGCTCCCAACCACTTCCTCAATTCCGGATAGGTTACATGAATATACCTCTCCCTATTCCCTTAAACTTTTGCCGATTTTTTTTTTACATCTCTTTCTCCATCTGGTATGACTCCTATCGAGGACAAAGCGAATCCTTGTTCTATCCTGGATAGAACAAGGATTCGCTCAGGTTACAGGATAGTGCCACTATCCTGTAACCATCTGAAATTCGTGATACCATAAGAAACACCTCACCTCACCAATTGCCCCTGGACCTGAGGGCCTTATCCACTTTCTTGATGTTAGAGATAACAGATACTTTCGAGCCATCTTCAACATCTTCCTGTAATTCCTAAAGCCGGAGATTTGTCTGACTATCAACACGCGACCAATTATTGTCCTCAATAGTTATCCGTCTCCTTCAGAAGATCCTCGCGAAACGCTAACTTCAGATTATTGTTCTCTCCTCTTCCCAAAGGACCTTCTTCCCCGTAGATGGAACCGCTATTAACACCTTTATCCTAGATTAGTGAGTTTGTTTGTCCTTCGAGCAAACAAACTCGCAACTGATTCGCCTTCGGCGCTCTGCGACAGAAGAAAATTACTAATGTATTTCAGTTTAAGGCATCCGTTTTCGATGCTCACCCCTAGTAACGTGGTCATACTCCTTTGCTCATGGGTTCAATTCCCACACCTTTGGCTCTGACACCTTGGAAAAAGATGTCTTAGAACATATTTTTAGTAACGCCATGTGACTTGTAGCATGAGGATCACCAAGTAACTTTTTTTAGTGCGTCATTTAATGTTCCATTGGTGAATTCAATTCCTGCCCACGGTCGACACACTCTTGATTGCATATCAATCTCCAAAAAAAATTTTGAAGTGAGCCACTTGAGTTTTAACACAATAACTCCTTATAGACTACGTTCACTGTATGGGGAGTTCTTTCATTGTCTACCTAATGCTACATACAGTTGTATATGAGAAAATACGTCATTCACAAAGGCAGTTCATGGCTATTTATATTCCTGCTTAGTTGATGTTTGAGCTTAGAAATGGCATCGGTTGATTCAAATGATGATTCATTGGATTCATTAGGAGGTGCAAGCTATTTTTCCACACTGGATCTTGTCAGTGGTTACTGGCAGATTCCTGTGGCTGAACAGGATATTTGTAAGACTGCATTTAATACTCCCTTTGGTCTTTTTGAGTGTT